GTGAGACTTAAGCATGCTTGCAATAGAAAGGATGGAACTTTGGTAATCCATTTTGTAATATTTTAATCTTTTTTTAACATATGGGTGTTTATAAGTAAAAATCCATCTCTAGCTAAGTAACAACAAGCAAGTGCAATAAATCTTACCTAACAGATTAGGTAAGATCTAACTGACAGGATGCTAGTCATTACTACAGAACAGGCAATGGTTATGAGTCAATGAACAAAAGTGGGACTTTTTATGAAGACTCTGTGGGAGACATGTCATATAACTTTCACTGATGCCGAAACACTACTGGTTAGCAATCAGCTGACAACAGAATTGAAAAGGAAGTCCCATACAACATTCAATGCAACAACACAGCAGTCATCATGAGTGTTAATACAGTAAAGGGGAAGGAATGCCAGATTTTGAAACATAATGGTGGTGAGGTAGATGAGAAGGTCAAAGTTTCAGGAATGCAATTCTGTTTTCATATACCAATCCAAACAGAAAACAGAAACATTAGCAGCAAGGTAAGGATATGCAGGCTGGGCATAGAAGTTATCAGCTTGGCTTCTGAGCTTCTTCTTTCTTTATGACCAGTTGAAGCCAGTATTCTATAAACCTTCAGTTGGCTGTCCCCAATTTTACGACCTTTTTTTGCCATGGTCGTTAAGCGAATCACATGGTCATTAGACAAATCCGGCTTCCGCCATTGACTTTGCTTGTTGGAAGCCAGCTGGGAAGGTCACAAATGGCAATCATGTGACCCTGGGATGCTACAACCATTGTAAATAAATGCTGGTTGCCAAACACCCGAATTTTATCACATGGTCACAGGGATGCTGTGATGGTCTTAAGTGTGAGGACTGCTTGTAAGTCACTTTTTCAGCACCGTTGTAACTTTGAACAGTTGCTAAACAAAAGGTCGTAAGTCAAGGACTACTTGTACTGCATTTTGAGTAACCTCTGTTGTATATGCATAGCCAACAGACAAATCCTAGCAACATAATTGGTAACCTCCATATATTACTTTAAAAGGATATAGGTAATACATGCTTCCTCTGTTCTTCCTCCCAAGATCTCTATA